TAATGCAACTCAATTTGCTCGGCAAATCGATATTGATCGGCGTTCTCTACCCACCATGAGTAGGGGCGGTTCTTTATCATGGCCGAAACGACTTCGGCATTCTCCCACTCTGAAAACCCAGGGAGGATATCCCAAAGGACAGCGGGAACTTCATCATCCCGACCAGAAGCGCTCGGCTCATCCGTTCTTTGAGGAGGAGCCGAAGAAAGGGGAGTCGCCCTAATCCCTTCAGCAGGGTCAGACTCCGGCCTTTGACCATTCCAGGTCCCAATCCTGTTCCTAGGATCGGGAATCGGCCTTGCTCTTCTTGGAGCACGGGCTCTACCTCTAACTCCTCTCGTCATAGATTATTTTGAAGAGAAAAGTCGAAAGAAAAGGGGAAGGAGTTCGAATTCGAAGAAAAATAAACTGAAATCAAAGGAATTTACCTTAATCTGAAGCGAAAGTTGCCAATTTACGAGTTCGTAGTGGCAAGTCTCAGTTTCTAAGCTCAATGCTCGGGGAATTTGCGAAGTTTTGATGCGGGTTCTTGGTTTCTCTCTCTCGAAGAAATCTGGGTTTGTGTTGGTGAATAAGTGAGGAGAATGACGCGCCTCTGTTTATATCTCCAGGTACGGGATACGAAGAGTCTGTGCTTTAATTTCTCTTAAATACCCACTAAGTAACCATTAAACACATGTCTTGTGATTAAACTGCCCATTATCCGTCCGACTTCCGCAAATCATTAACCGTTGTTATCTCATTAATTACGGTTTAAATTCAAATTTTTGGATCAATTAAATCATTTACTTCCCTCCTTTTCTGAGTTAAATCAAACCCGACCCGTCATCCTTCCAAATCGGGTCTGGGGGGCAAGTTGTTTGGGTCCAATTTAGTCAAAATTGGGCCTGAGCACTAAATGATCCAATTAAAAGCCCAAGGTCAAGGTTCAACTCTCCAATTGCTCAAAAGTCAAAAGTCAGCCCACAAAGTAAGCCAATTGGGCTAAAGCCCAACCTCTCCATGTATGATGAGGTATAAAAGCCATCATATTAACACATTCAAAAGGAGATTCACATTCCAATTCATATGCTCATTCTTGCATTGAGAAATATTCCACAAAAGCCTCAAGCTACAAACTCTCTTGCATAGTGTCTTCCTTCTACACATTGTACTGACTTTAGCATCGGAGGGGCCTTCCTCGGAAACACCCCCGAGGCTAGTTTACGTGTGTTCACTGTGCAGGAAACCTTCGGCCCAACACAACTTGGATCGAATCCAGTCTTCTCCATTTCAGCGGACCTTCGGCAAGGTCCCATTGTTTTCAACCGAAACACAGAGTATGTATCATTGCTAAAGTGAGAATCAATAATAGTGACAATTTATAAAGACAAAAAAAAAAAATGAATTTTGAGGATAAAAAATCACTTAACATTTGCATTTATAAAGTCACTACCAATGCAACCATTAGTGACCGCTAACAAACGGTCATGAATCATGGTAATATTGCGTTAGATTCATATTTTGTCTTTACCTTGTGTATGTGATGACTTGAGTAAAGACTATAATAGATCTGGTCTACAATAACTTATTGTACGCCCAACCTTCTAGTATATCATACGAATGTGATTATATCATACGAAACATGGAAAGTGATTATATCATCCTGAAACTGTTATGTAAATGTATCACTCAAAAAGTGAATTTATCATTATAATAAAAAGTATCAAATAGTAAATTACATCACTCAAAAAATGATTTTTAAATTTTATCATCCTAAAGATAATTATATAATCTCATTAAATGGTTTAATATGAGATTATATAATTCAAAATATGACTCACAAAAAGATAATTATATCGTCTAAATCTAATATATATATATATATAAAGGGGAGTTTTTTCCCGAATTTTTAGAGAGCCGATCTAATTTTCTCAGCGCGCGGATTATAAATCTTAGTGGTAGCCAATTAAATAAGAGATTATTAATTTCTTTTAGAATTAAATAATTTAAATGCCATGTAAGTAAAATTGGCTAATGAGATTTTTAAGTTTAAATTAATTAAATATTATATATTATCTTTTAATATTAGGAATTTTATCTTAATATATAACAAATTTTAGTCTCATAAATACAAAAAAAAAATTATTTAAAAAAATCAAACAAACCGTGCATCGCACGGGCTTCATCTAGTGTGATTATATATTTATATTATTTGAAAGTGTTAAATTTCGGGTCTACAATAATTTATTGTAGAACGGGTCCATACAAAACCAAACTATCCAGTAAATTGAAGATTTAGGATAAAATCAGCGGTAGATTATGCGACTGGAACTAATAAATTAACATAATCTGAAAATACGACTATAAAGATAAACACAAGAGATTTATATAACTCAGTTAACATGAATACATGATATGACCTATACTTCCACTAGCTGTAGACATTAGAGGGCTACAAGAAAAGTATAACAAACCAATAGAGTTGGGGAATTTCCCAACTCATATATGAAGCCCTCTAAAGGAGAAAATAATTGAGAGACTCCAAAAACATGCCTTACATAAAAGACATTTTAACCCTAAAGAAATGTAGTCCTATTTCTTTAATAGTACTTATTATGAGACCTTTTTGAGTCAAATAATGTAATAAATAAAGGGTACAAGGAGTATAAAATTGATGTTCCCCTTTGACAAGCAATGACTCGTACTCAGGTATTGCCTCACCCAAGCAATAACTACATGGAGTTAAGAAAATAATAAATACACTTTATCGGTGGAAATCCATTATCCTATTTTATCTCAAAGTCTTAGCTTGAATAGGGCAAGGGCTTGCTCTCTTAATTTCAGTTCAGTTCAGTTCAATTCCATTCAATTCAGCTTAATTTTAGTTCAGTTCAGTTCAACTACAATCAATTCAGCACTTAATTTCCTTCTCTCATGGACAATTAATTTCAGCTATATTCAGTTCATTTCAGCTCAATTCATTTCAGCTCAATCAATTCAGTTCAATTCAATTCAGCTGAATTTAATAAATCAGAACAGGCCCTAAATTGATCAGGCTCAACCGAGCTTACCAGCTTACCCCATAATCTGAGCTCCATTTTCATGCAAGTGTTCGTTCACATCAATTTGCATCACTTTTATGTTATATATCCTTGACTTTGATATCTTCTGATAATTGTGGGCGTCAAAAAATGAGTAAATAGACCCAGGAAGACGTCTGTGTGAGCCCAACAAGCTTGACACACGCTGTGGGACACCAAACATGTGCTCGGTCAATTCCCCACCTTCGCTGTAACATACACCCTTCATCATATGCTTCTAGTTGCCCCTTTGTGCCTGCCTCTATCCCATTACCAACATTTTTTTTATCAAATTTTGGTAATTTTACTGTATTTTACAAGTGATTTCATTTGTTGTAACTTTAATGTTTCACACATCGCTAGTTTACCAATTGTCACATCCAGCGTCGTATAATGATTATGGTCCCACATAAAAACTCTAATTTGTTGTATGTAAACATAAAATTTAAATTCAAATTAACTTCTATTACATAATTTGATTTTTTTTTTACAACGAATTTAACTTTGTTACTTGTTACAACAATGTACTCTGTAAAACAGTTTCAGGTTCATTTATAGAGCTCACAGCTTCCAACCACGTTGTACTAGGTCGGGAAACACATTTAGATCAAATTAACCAAAACTGCCAACTCGAATTGATTCAAATCGTTAATGCTCTAACCTCACCAAAACTAACCTAATAAAGTACGTAGTCAAATTTATTACAATCATGACTAACAAACTTAGTTAACACAAATGAAGAACAACATAAAAAAAAAAAAAAAAAAAGTGGTAATATATGGAGAGCTGATACACATATAATTATTGTATGTGGTCCCTACATACAATACCATTAGAATTTTGACACATCATCAAAAAGGGGAGAAAACTAAGAGTTAAATATAAATTGAATTCAAATAAAACTTGGACCCATAATTTTAGCCAATAAAAACATGACAAATTAAGGTTGTATGTAGAGACCACATACAACAATTATATGTGTAGCTTTTACCTAATATATGGCAAAATCAGAGCCATAAATAATGAACAAAGGAATACTTCTTCCTTTCTTTTAGTAAAGTTTATTTTGGTGTTACCATAAATATTCTTCCTTTTGCAGTGACAACAGAATAAAAATACCACAATCGAATTTAAATTAAATAAAAATCCTCGAATTTTCTCTCTCCTCTATTTTTTGCCAGCTACTAAAAGCAAAGTCACATGGGAAACTAGTTGGAAGTTTGGAACCTTGTGCTCTCTATCTTTTCCCTAACACTTGTGTTAAACATGACACCTGTTCTTCCTTGAAAAAAAAAATAAAATAAAGTAAAATTCTTCCATTATCTTTTTTCATTTTTCTTAACCACTTCCTTCCACCGATCAAAAATATCATCTTATAGAATACCAACAAATTTGTACGATTTATTTTCCAACTGAATTTTTTGGATTTTTACTTCGTTAGCTGTCTTATGTCTCTACCCTGTTTTCTAATCAAAACTCGAATCGAATCTCATCTACTTGCTCTCCATATACTACCTCGGATATACTACCTCCGTTACAGATTATGTGCAACGATTAGATATTTTGCCTGGAGGTAGTATGAAAGGTGAAAACAATAATCAGACTTAAAATTAAAGAGAATGCAAGTGAAATTGAAGTGAAGAGAGGAAATAAGAGCAGTAAAAATGAGTAATAATTAACAATAATGATAATGATGGTAATAATAATGATGGTAATAATAATAATAATAATAATAACAAGTAATAACAAATGAAATCTGGGCCGTAAAATGAAGTCTCAACACCGCCAAACACAATAACCACCACCGTCCATCAACCGCCACCCATCAGTTAAAACAAAAATAAACAAATATACGCAAATCGAGGAACTAAAAAAAATAAATAAACCCTAAAAAAGTGAAGAGAGAGAAAGAGATAATCTCAAGATTTCTCGATCTATCTAGAACATCAACACGGTAGCCAAAACAACTGCGGCAGCAGATCCACCAGCAATGGCGGTTCTGAAACCACTTGAGATGTCAGCGGTGGGACCAGCGCTTGGGCTCATACCAGGACCTCCGGCGACACCTGGACCAGCGGCGGCTCCTGGTCCGGCGGCGGGACCGGGACCGGCGGCGGAGGGAACTTCAGCTGGTGGAGATGGTGGTGAAGAGAGAGGAGATGCGGCGGGAGTTGCGGTGGGAGTTGCGGCCATGGTAGGAGGAGTAGCGGCCATGGTCGGTGGAGTAGCGGCCATTGTTGGAGGAGTAGCGGTCATTGTTGGAGGAGTTGCGACGGGAGTTGGTGGTGACATCGGAGATGCTGCAGGAGCTCCGGTGGGAGCTTGAGCTATGGCGGATACCACGAGGAGAGAGAAAATTGTTGCGATGATTGCTCCTGCCATTGTTGATTTGATGAAGTTGAAAATTCTAGAGAGAGAAAATTCGAAGTGGTTTTAGAGAGAAAATTTGGGAATTCAGAGAGATTGATGGAAGTGCGATGAAGAGAGAAAGTGAGGGAGGAAGTGTTTATATAGGAGAGAGAAAAGAAAGAGGGTTTTAAGTTTTAATAAGTTAAAGAAAAAATAAAAATGAAGAGATTAATTTTGTTTATTGAAATTATTTAAATTAAATTAATTAATTTTTTTTGGAATAGAGTTAATAATAATTGTAATTATGATTGTTTCAAAAAAAAAAAATTGTAATTATGAATGTAACTAATAATATACTGACAACTCATCCCATGTTACCTGTCGTGGCCCACAATTAATCCTAGCCGTTTTTATTTTCATAAAATAAAAAAGTTAAATTTCATACTTTTTCTCAACATGTAATCTCAACCGTCCACGTCTAAAACGACTCGTTTTCTAAAGCTGGCGTGTTGATCTGACGGTTGAGAATGTAGGGTGTAGGGTAACTATTCTGGACGTTAAGTTGAGGAGGAAAAAATTAGTTTTCCAACGGTTGGAAATTTAAAAAATAATATTTCAACGTTTGTACTATATTATAGTTTTAAAAAATTATAAAAAGTAAGTGGACCGTTATGATTAGCACGTTGTTGGAGAAATAGATTAATAGACGGTGGTTTGGTGATGTTTGATTATAAGGGGACTACTAATTTTATTTTACTTAATTAGACTAATAACGGGACATAAAAGTTGTTAATATTATACAGATCATATAGTAGTACGACCTTACATTATAAATATAAAAATAAATATATAACACTAAAAATAAAACTTTATATTATAAATATTTGACTGCATAATTAAGGTCTGTATATAACAGAGCTATAATTTCTTACTATCCAGTATATATTTACTATCTTTAATCTCTAAGTAATAACTTACATTTCCCTAAAAAAAAAAAAAAAAAAAAAAGTAATGACTTACATTACTAATTTACTATAGTTTATTGAATGCATATGCATGATCGATTTATATATGGTCTAATTGTGAATTATGTTAAATGAATCAAATTGACACAGAAAATTGCCAACATATAATTACATAATTGTGCTACAAGTTCAATATCCATTTCACTTGATACTAATATATGAGCTTCTTTAGTGATCGTTATTTCATCTCAATTGTCATCAAATACGTACTACATACATATTTATGTACTTGTGCAGTCATAGTATCAAAAAAGAGATTAGTTGAAGCAACAAATTAAAGGTTTAGGAATTAACTAAATATGTTGTCAAAATTTGAAGTAAAGTATGTCTTTTGATTTATAAATATAATAATTTCGTCTTATAAATAAACTATAATCGAAAGGACGTTAGATAGTAGTAGGATAAACATATTATAATCGTTTCAATTCAAAATAATCTTAAAAACTGATTTTATTTCTACAAAAAAATGCAAAATTGAAGATACTAATGATCAAACTAATTAAAGATCGATGTCAATTGAAAACCTATGCTAAATGCAAGCATAGAGATACTAAAATACCCAAATAGATTATCAATTTATTCAAGAATCCTAATGCCAAAACTGAAATCTTATGAAACAATACTAATTAAATGACATACAACTTTAATTAATCATAAACCATCAGATGAAAAGAGGATTATTACTTGTTTATAAAGTATGGACCACTTTGGAGTTTGAACTTACCATAGATAAATTAAATTAGTGATTTACTGTTAAGTTTAAACAAAGGGTAACACATAAGCCAATGTTGGCCGATTGTTAAGCAATACAACGCGCTTCCATAGTAAAAATTAAAATAAATATTAATATAAAGTACTGTAATACTTAGTTATTAAAGTGTGACAAATATAGAAGGAATGCATGTGAATTTGTGTTGTGTTTTTGTGTTCAACTTCCATAGTAATCCTCCACCTCTTAAGTTGCTATTTGTTGTATTCTAAGCCAAGTTCTAGAGACTTGGATCAACCGCGTATGTACTAGGTCTTTTCCCAACTAAATGCCAACAAATTTGCTTTGCCCTTATTATGTTTCTTCTATAGTACTTGTATTAAAATGCTAAGTTATTGTATGTTAGTGTTAGAAACTTTTTGTCACACTGAAAATATATTTGAATAAGCTGTATCAATTTGTTTACATCAAATATAACATTACATTAATCATAAAGCAGATTACATACTAGAACATTAAAGGTAAGACCGTACATCTTTTTTCTATTGGGAACCATATGTTTTCGGAGGAGCAAGATGCTCTTCTTTTATAGCTACTCATCCTGTAAATACAAGGAGTTAGTAAGAAAAATAAGAGAACGTTAAGAACCCCTCCTCGTGAGGGGAATTCCTGACGCATTAGAGGAAATAATATGGTACAAAGTTGAGGAAGTACAAAGAGTAATGTCCATGCTATCATTAACAAGATGACCTACATTTGCGATCTAATTCGTTGCTTTATTGTTTGCTTCTCTATAAATGTGGTGAATTCCATTGTTGAAACCTTTGAAGAAGATTGAGGATTTCAATGATGATGTGATCAATTTGTCGTGGAATGGTTCAAAATCCTTTGACTGCGTTGATTACTAGGAGGTTGTCCCCTTTGATGACTAAATATTGAATCCCATGTTGAAGAGCGAGAAGGATGCCTTTTTGGAGAGTTGTAGCTTCTGCAACAAAAACCATGGCGTTGCCAAGATTGAAGGTGCGAACTGCGATAAGGGAACTGGTGTTGTCTCGCTTTAATGATGACACCTGCTGCTTTTGAGTTGTTTTTGTGTGAACCGTCGAATTTGAGTTTGAAAGAGTTTAAGGGGGTGTTTCTGAGGCAATTTGGCGGAGAATAAAGTGATTGGGTTGGTGGTGGGTACGGGTTTAGCATAAAATGGTATCCGTGAGAGTACGACATTGCCACTCGTTGAACGTGAAAAGTTCGAGGGATATCTAACGGTTCATTTCGAAAATTCATAAGATTTTGTTCTTTCTATATACTCCATAATAAAAAGATAAACTTTTTAGAATGGAGTTGTTCTTTTTGAGGGTGTTTAGGGTAATTAGCATGTCCCCATATGTAAGAGAACTGCCCAACCAACTCTTGAATTGGTTAGAAGATGTTGCCAAATTTCGTAAGTTTTTTTTTGTAGCCAAGAAAAAAGTGTTCGAGTATAATTAGGGTAAGCTAATTCATAATATCTACTTTTAAAATGTACCAACATTTTATACAAGTATAGTTTACTATTGTACTTAGTATTATACATCTAAATATATTTTAACGTGTATAGCTCCCTCTATATAGTTGGCTGTAATTTTGATTTATGTAAGTAGTGTGGATGCTACTTAGATTAGTTGATTAATTAAAATCTTGATAGATGATTAATAACCATTGAGAGAGAGTGAGAAGACTAAGAACAAAGGGCGAAACCTTAGAGAGAGACTTATATTTCTTTTCAATGTAGCTAGAAACTCATACGTATCCATGAGACTTTATAATATATATCCATGAGTCGGGATAGTTAGAAATTCTTATAAAGTACGTACCTATTATAATAGAGACTTTAAGAGTGAGGGACAACTCAAGGGGTTAGAGCTTCCTTTCCGGTTTCAGGAGATCGTAGAATCGATTCTCACCCCGCCCTTGTGGAAAAAAAGAAAATTATAAGAGGGACTTTATTATATGATTAATACATTGTACGAGTTCTGTTACTGTGTATCCATGAGCACTTGCAATAGAAAATCTCAAAAAATAAATGAACACAAAAAAATCAGTACTAATCATCTTATTATAGTCCAATTTAATTAATTAATGTTCAATAAAGATTTCTGGGAAGAGCTCTTCTTTAAGCCTCTACTTTATAAGCCAAATTAAAAGTTGACACCGTCTTTCAAATAATGTCTTTAAGCTTTGGGTCATGGCAAATATAAAATAAAAAAATAAAAGCCAAAACATTGCTTTTGAAAGCAGTTGTAATCTTTCGTGTTCCATGTTTAAATAATCCAATTGATGATGATTCTAATTGGTACGATGTCATTTGAAGTTGTGAAAAAGTTGAGATGATCCAAATTTGAGTTATTTTATATACGAGTACAAAATATACATTCTATTAGTCTTTCTCTAAAATAGAGAGATTTTTAGATTTTACTAATAGACTTCCTGAGATTAGGGCGGAGTGTTCATAATTCGGATTAAAACTGATATTCAATTCAAATCGAATTATCAATTTCGATCGGATCCGAATTTTAAAACGGATCGGATTGGATTGAGATTTTTTGAAAAGTCGGATTTTCGGATTGGATCGGATTGACCTCAATTAGATCCAATCCAAACCGAAAACCGAATTGTAAAATTAAATTTGTATAAATATGGATTTTTTTTGTTTTGAAGTTTAGCTCAAACACTTACTACTACATAAAATAAATTAGTGAGACTTTGTAATAATTAATTAACGGCTTGATGTTGAATCATTTATCTTAATCATGATTTTGAAGACTTGTATTTATATTAAAGCTTTATTTTCATAATCGTATTAGGCACTAAAAGATAATGTATCATAATTCGGATTTTTGGATTGGATCCAAATAACCAAATTTTAATTCGGATTGGATTGGGAGAGAAATTTTATTTTTACATCTTCTAATGATGTTTTGCAATTCTTTCAAAAAAAAAAAAATGATGTTTTGCAAGAGTTTCATTGGCATGGTAATATTTTATAATACGGCTAAGATTTCATTGCAAAATTACATACAGATCTATTGTCATTTCCATAATTTTTGACCGCTTATCAAACGTGATGTTAAGGAACTCAAAACAAATCGGCTAGTTGAAGACCTTGAATTGAAGTGAGTTGGTTAGGGTATCACATTTCCTATTTGGTGTTCTAGTTTAACAAGATTACTGTGTAAAAGTACACACTTATAAGTTAATTAGAAGATATAGAACCTTGTAACGCGTATAAATGTTTGGTCGTAAATGGCAACAAAGAA